CACAACTATATATAGAAAGTGCTTACTTCACTGAATTGGTTGAATGCTTGAACAGGAAAACAGTGTTCTTGATTTGCGACAAAACACCAAGATTTGAAGTTTCTGACACCACTGATATATTCTACGTCGATGACTGCATCCTCGCCCAACCATCCCCTTATACCGATTCGGTTCAGCACTTGACGAAGCTTCCTCGGGTGTGGTGGGTTGGCCATTGAAACGTTGAACGTAGAACAAAAGAACAGAACACTTTCTAGGTGTTGAGAAGAAGAACACTTTCTAGGTGTCAGCGGGACACAAATAGTAGTTGAGCGCCTATCAATAGTAGTTGAGTGTCTCACACACATCTTGTTCATCACACAAGATGTCGATGTAGCGGAAGGAAACCGCCAGCAGTCCGAAAATTTGGTCTTGGCTGTCAATGGTTCTTTTCAATTCAGCAACACACTACCACCCAGTGATTCTTCAAACAAGTTTGTGTCATGTTGTTAGTGCATCCAAAGACCTAGCGGACCGTGGGTGTGACCCACCCTTCCATACATCACTGAACTCAACCTCATCTTCTGCGTTGTGACAACGAATGATAGCCATTTGAGAATCGAGTTGTTCTTGTTTTCCCTGACACAATTGTCAGCCTTAGTTTTGGGCAAGGATTTGGAAAGGGCATGTTGTTGTAAATTGCAAGTTGTTTCATTCAACATGTCTTTCTTTTTGCGAATCCAGTAGCCCAGCACAAGAGCTGGTCCGGTACAGGCTTGTTTCTTGCTTGGCAAAGTGCGACAGCCTGTTCTATGCTCCTTGTCATGGTTTCCAAGACACTCGAAGCGTCAGCTGGTAGACGCGGATCTAGCAGCCATAATTTGAGGAGTGTTCCATGCAGCCAGCAGGCCTGTATTTTAAACTTTGGCCGTTGTGTGTTGCTTAGGCCCTTGGGCGTGACGTTTGCACGATCTCTGGGTATGCTCCACTTGGCCTGGTCCATGCCATCCTGCTGCCAGCAGGCGCCCGGTTTACAAAGATTTTGCCATTTGCAGAATTCAATTTATGAGTGAATCAAGCACATGATTTCAGCCATGAAACCATATGGATGCAAAGAGGAGATCCGTCGTGCTGCAAGGGACACTGCGCCTGAACATAGCAGTAACACAGAAGCAAGGTCCATTTAGCAAGCCCGCCCCAAAGTGGCAACAGCAAGTGCACTAGTTTTGGAAGGCAGCTGTCAAAACAGGTAGCCAAACTTTCAAGTAGCCTGAAGGTACTGCTCTAATTGCCGGTCTCGCTTGATGCTGTCCACATGCTCTTTGTACTCTTTGGCCACATCGTAGGCCATTTGCGGAGACTGGGAAAGCAACAGTGGGCCCACATGATGACAATCACTGGCTTAACTTTACCTTAAATACTTGATGTTTCAATCCTGGAAGCAAGACACCTTCGCCATCTTGAACAGCTCCTTGAACTCCAAGCAGTCGTCACAAGCGGCGTGACTCGAAGCAGGACTAAATCTGAGCAACTTTGACCAGCGTCCCTTGAATCGCCGCCAGAAGTGTATGTACCTTTGCTATTGAAAAAGGAATGTCATACAACAAGAGTCACTCACTTGACAAACAACTTTTGCCATCATATCAAAGAAAGATGAGGTGCGACACTTGGACTGCTGGCCGCTCATGACAAAATTGATGCCAAAGCATTTTGATACTACCCGGCTGTAAAACCCTGGTGGGTAAGGATGTCAGCATAGTACAGCCTGCTGTTTCTATATACCTGATTGAACAGCAAATAAATTGACAAGTTCATATGATATTCATGTGTACCGGCGCTGCAACATGCACATGTTTAGTGCAAGAATCTTCGAGTAGTAGCTGTTCAAACCCAATGCGTGCATTCTGAGTTCTTCATCATCCTCGATCAACTCATGCCCAACACACAGAGTCTCCCCAATGTCGTCACTCTCCACAGATGCATCAGACTCGAAGCCTTCAGAGGAGTATGACTTGAGAGTATGTGCTTCACAGCATCGTTTTCAGTTCATGGTTTTCTTGTGATTTCGTAAAGCTATGCAAAGACATGACCAAGTGAACCAGATTTGAACAGTGCCTGGGTCAGGCTGCGCAAGCTCAACTGAAAGCTTTTCAGGCTGGGATCTCAGCGGAGTGTCTCGCTGATGAGCTGCTCGTTGGAACCTGTCGATTTGTTTGCTCGGAGAATTCTTGGGTTTGGGGTTGAATCTGAAAACCAATAGCCAGATATCAACCAACTCATGTGCCAAGAGACTTTTCTGGAAGCATTCCTGCTGCCTTGTTGTAAATGTCAAATAGAAACAGGTCCACCTCCTTTTGTTTCCTCCCAAATTTATTGGATCCCTTGGTTGCAGAATGAACGAAACATAACGAAACAATACAGGATTTGACACACGAAGTTTCAACCTGCAAAAAAACAAGACGAGGCACGCCACCCCAAAGTCTATAGCGGCGATCGGGGCCACCAGAAATGATCCGCTTCATTCTCGAGTTTCCCACACCGAGAACAGCAGTGACACACTTTGGTGACATTTGGTATCCTAGCAAATACCACTGTCTCCGCTGCACCGCCTTGCCTCTGCCAACGACTTGCTGGACCTAGGAAGAAGGGCTGCCAAAAATACACATTTCCAAGGTCATCAAGTATCGAAGGGAAAAACTGAATCGAGGAATATCGAGGAAAATGAGGTCCAGGCAAAGAGGTCTTGTCTCGGTCTGGACATCTTCCAGAAGGTGTTCATGAATGTGCTCAGTAGCTCCATTTTCTCTCCCAACCATCTGAAACAATTCTTCCTATGGCACCGGCAGTGGTGGAGATGCTGCAAATGTTCCAACCGAGCTGTAGATGCACCGTTCACACTCTGCCTCACACGGCAGTCGCAGCACAAGTTTGGAAGTGCAATTTGCAATCACATGTATATAGCTCGACAAGTTTGATTGTTAGCAATCTGCAAGACAGTTGCTGGCTAGCTGCTGATGAGTCTGTCGGCCCTTGGCCAGTAATCGTCTCTGCTGGTTGTTGTAGTTGGGGCGTTTATGGTGCTCCAAGATGGCACCCCCAACAGCTTTCTCTTTGTCCAGGGCTAGGTCCACATTCACATCAGCTGTATGCTGGAAACCACGCAATCCGTTCATTGTAAACTTGACCTTCACTGATCCTGCCTCTTCTGGCTCTGGCGGAATGGTCTGTGGACACTGCTGAGGCTTCATTGACTTCCAAAAAGCTCTTCTAGTGCCATCACAAGCCGTGCTATCACGAACTACAGACACCGTGTTGTTTTCAGATGCATTGCTTCTGACTGGGACTGAGCTGCTTGCTGATGATGCAATTGACTGGCGTCGAAAATACCTGGCAGTTGTCCAACTGCTTTCGCAACAACAAAGGGCTACCTTTAGTTAGTGACTTTAGTCTGAAAGTGTATTGGTCAAGCAAAATAAATTCTTGGTATAAACTTGGTCCATGGCTGTCGCCGCTCCATCAAAACTTGCCCTGGCCAAACTCCGAGCCTGAAAAGGTCACAGGTAGCAAGACCAAGAGGCTAGAGGTATCTAGAGGTATTGAATGAATGCCAGGCTCAGGAACAATCTAGACTGATCAACCCTGCATCAACCTTGTTGCAAGCTTTGATGTGCCAACATGTGCTTCTGAGGTTTGGTCGTCAGCTTGGGCGATGGGTGAGGCAGAGCCTACAAACTGGGTTTTTTGAGCGGAATGGAGCCACTAATAGCTTAACCTCTCACTGAATTTTTTACTATAAAATCTAGCAGGGCCACGTTCCCTCACAGTTTCATGAATGTGTGTGAAACTTCAGCCTCTGAGATGACGGTGGCTACCAAAAGCCAAGCTCCCTCAGTGTTATTTACCACCCACATCAGCAGCCAACTGTTTGACATAGGTGACTTTGAATATCATAAATGAACATGTCGACCATTCTCAGACTTTGGCCAGGTTCATGCCTCAGCTGAGAAGTTTCACCAACTCATAGCGGTGGTTGCATTGTAGACACTCATAGACAAGCCAACTCATAGACACACATAGGTTAGTCTTTTGGGGTCCAGACAGGGCAGTCTCCGGCAATCGCCAGCATTGCAGGGAAAGCGTAAGTGAATGTAAGTGAGCTGATACATGGACTATCATGGACTATTGGTGAAACAATGTAAAGCAATGACAAGTGGAATTCCTGCAGTGAATGTTTCCGGAGCACAGTGTACAGAATCAGGTGTTTGCAAGTTGAAACACAGGGTAAGGGATGCTGTTTCAAACCTGCTTTGGCTTGGTGTCCGGGGGAGTCATGACATACAATGATTGACCAAGACCAATCTTCCTCAAACCAAGCTGAGATGAACAAGTTCAAGGCCAATCTCGAGATCAAACACGTGCCACGCTGAAAGCAAGCACCTGTTGAAAGCAAGCTGAGTGTGTCGCGACATGTCACGACCAGTGATGTCGAGCCTGGAAAAAGGGTTTGCAGCCACCAACTACAATCAGCTAGCTGGACCAACTACAATCAGCTAGCTGTCCATTCTGCCTCTAGGGCACTGACTGAGAAGTGAAGGTGTCCACATGAAACCATGGCCAGAAGGATTCCTGCAAATAAAGCAGTAGGCCAACAGCCTCTTGAACTCTTTGAATTGCACTCCCCAACCTCAGTGATACACCATGAAGACCTGCAAGCCGGTGTAAGCTGAGCAGAAGGGTAGAATGGTTGAACTATGTTGAACTACAGAGCTTCCTGGCCTGCAACGTAAGGGGGAGGTTAGCAGACAATACGATCAAACAATGGGCTGCAAGGAAGCGGCATCCAGGCTTCTAAGACTCAATTGAAATGAAACGACACCTGAACGCAACGAAATCTCCTTGTAAATAAACAAACAAGTCACATTCACTCAATTCACTTCATGCTTTTCACCAATAGCTTGAAGAACCCCCTTCCGTGTGTCCGTACCGCTCGGACTTGCACAGCGAGCTCGCGTCTCGGCCAGACGATGTCCACACCCAGTGGCTTTCGCGGTGGTCCCGAGGATAAGAGATCCCGGGTGCGCAGTGAAACGTGAGGGGCAGGGCGTTTGGGCAGGGCGTCGTGAGACATATGAGACCTTTGGGACAGATCAAAGAAGCGTTGCATGTGTGGGTTGATAGAGGGTTGCATGCATAGGTTGATGTTGCGGAAATCGTCTAGAAATTGATTGGAAACCAAAGAGATCGAGCTGGCTCGAGCTGTTTTCTGGTTGCCTTGTCGTATTCCTTTTTCCCTCTGCTTTCGCTTTTGGTGTTTGCTAAACGCTGCACTTGGATGGAACGCAGCGTTTGTTGCAGTCCTTTGAGCCTGGCTCAAGACTCAGAAACAGCCATTGATGGACATGAATGGCTATTGAGATGCCTCAATCCTCTCCTCCCCTTGGGTCCCATCCCCCTTGTCCTTGGTGATTTCAGAGCTAAGAAGTGGTTCAAAGAGGGGAACGTTGTCCGTTGTCCCACAAGGAAAGAGAGAGGCCACAATGAGAGAGGCCACTCACTGGCAGATCACAGATGCATGTTGTGGGGATGCTACAAGGGGAACTCAGGAACTCCTGAATGGTCTTCTGCCACCAAAACGCTTCTGGGGGTGCCCAACCCATATGGTTCCACCCCTGTTGAAATCCAAGATGCGCACCCAGCGCGGGGTCCCGCGCGGTGGGCCCTGGCCATGGCTGGTCCTCCTAAGCGTGGCGTCCTTGATTTGTTCAAGCCCAGCCTTTGCGCCACCGTGGCGTAGAAGCTGCGCCCTACTGGGTCTTTTCGGCCTTGGCACTAGCCTTGGCTTGTGTCCACCAGCAGAAGCTCAAGACCTTCCTGCTCCACCCGACGTGGCAGCAGTGCCTGCGGACGCTGAAGTCACACCCAGTGGCTTGGCCTTCAAAGTGCTCAGAGCTCCAAACTGCGCGAGCTCCACAGCTCCGGAGGCGTGCGAGGATGAGAGGCCCTTGAAGTTCGATAAGGCACCACTCCGAAAACGAGGAAAAAAGCAACGTACGGAGGCGGCCCAAACAGACACGTTTCCGCCAAGGTGCTGACAGTGACAAAGACCATGAAAAGGATATCAAAGGCTGTTGATGGTGTTTGATGTGAAGGATTCTGAAGGATTCTCAAGGAATTCTTTGCGCCATGACCACATGATGTAGGATCACAAGGCCCTCCAACTTAATTAGCCTCTTCTGTGGGAGCTGAGTGTGAAGATCTGTGAAGACAACTTGCTTCGCAGGTGACCGTCGACTACACCGGATGGCAGACCAATGGTCGCATGTTTGATAGCAGCGTGAAACGTGGTCAGCGAGCCAGCTTTGGTTTGAGTCAAGTCATCAAAGGGTGGACGGAAGGTTTACAACTCATGGCTCCCGGCGAAAAACGTCGATTTTGGATTCCAGCTGACTTGGCCTATGGCGAAAACCCTCAGGGAGGACGTCCCGGTGGCTTGTTGGTCTTCGACGTGGAGCTCTTTTCGGTGGAACGAGGGCCCCGCGTGCCAACGCCGGAAGATGTCCGTGCGCCTCCTGCGGATGCCGAAGTCACTGCTTCAGGCATTGCATCCAAGGTGAGGTGGAGAAAGTCACATCCTTCTCAGCCCCGGCTGAGCCCGGGCGTTCAGCCAGGTTTAAAGTATTGAGATGCTGCAAAAGTGTGGTATGCAAAGTATACTATGGACTGGATATAGGTAGTCTAACTCTATAACAGTCTAACATACAAAGTGTGTACTGGTGCTGTGGCGTGCTTCGTGTTCTTTTTAAAAGGAGATCGAACATGTCTTAGGCCCTGGAAGTGACTGTGACCTCCACCACTCCTCTTGGCGTGTTGAAAACACTCCGCTCACCACCTCCTCAGGTCCTGAAACCCGGCTCTGGCGGTCAACGGCCAACCTCCAGCAGCGTCGTCACGGTGGACTACACCGGCTGGACCACGGAGGGACGTTTATTCGACTCTTCGGTACTGCGCGGCCGCCGCGCGACCTTCCGCTTGGACCAGGTGATTCCCGGATGGACGGAAGGCGTGCAGCTCATGGCCGTGGGTGAGAAGCGACGCTTCTGGATACCGGCGGCGTTGGCCTATGGAGAGAATCCGGCTGGTGGGAAGCCGGCAGGAATGTTGGTCTTCGATGTGACGCTGTACCAAGTGCAATAGCGTGAATTGCTCATGCTATATTAACTATGGCTGTAGATGGCGCAGAGAAGGATCAAAATGAGCCAATGGATTTGCCTGCTGCAACAGTTGAATGAAGATAATATGATTACGGACCCTCCAAATCTCAAGCTTTTATCCAAATGAGCTACGACCAAAACCCTCAAATTGATTGTTTAGTGATGAGTGTGGATTACAACCATCCTGTATGTTTGGTGTTTTTCTATCAGGCTTTGGCCATAACTCCAATGTTGCCCGATCTTCGAAAGGCCCGAGTTCCGCTCCACAAGTGCGGTCGCCACCGTCGAAGTCGTGGCCATCGTTGTTCGATGCCCAAACTCAGACGAGTTCAAGGTCGAACTTTCGATATCAATCCCAGACACTCCATGTGTGCCATATATTTATATCCATAGATTGCCTACATTGACCCCCAGTCAACCACCCCAACATACCGTTTCTCGGCATCTACGGACGCGTCTCGGTCGTGTCACCTCGGCACCAGGCGGCCTCCACGTCGCAGCGGAGTTATAAAGACTTCGAGTCACATCAGCAGGTGACACCCGCTGAGACCTCAGTAGACCTGACCTGAAGGGAGATTAAGCCGGTTTCGGCTTCAGCTTGGCTTCTCCATGCTATTCCGAACACCCGGTCAAGGTCTGCGCTGTGTGGTGAAAACGGGGCTTGGGGGGAGTCAGGTTCCTGTTGAAGAAAGTCAAGTAAGTCTGCATGGATCGGATCCATGGCCTAATTATAGAGATCGATTTTCCTGGATATCGAATTCTCCCGGTGATCCCTACAGAAGTGATGTTTCTAGACGGGCGAGTACTCCAATGGTTTCGGAAACCGAAACGGATGGAACAACCAATCCGAGAGTCCGTCTCTCCGTGTTTGGCCCGTTCAACGGATCTCTCTCGTTCCATGTCGGTGTTTGGCTCCGTTCTCCGAGAACAGATCCGTCACGACACCTGAGGCGATGATGATGGAAATCCCCTTGGAGCCACAAAGGCAAGTGCATGGTGCCTTTGGCCGGATTTTTGGGTGGCAGATCGAGCAAGCAGGTGGCAGCACGATAGCAACGTAGCTTCAATGTAGTGGCATTTGGGTAGTGATACAGGTTTGTTCATGTTTGTTCTATACAGGCGCATGTTCAATAAAGGATGGAAGGTGAAAGGAGCCGAAGACCGTGAGGCTTCTTTGGCCTTCGTTTTTTGGGTGCCTTTGGATTAATTTGTGGGGGGGCTTGCACTCATGATTGGGCATTTGAGGTGACTACTACTACAGAGGTTTCAGAGCAGATGGCACAATCACCGAAAGGCCCCCCATCTAGATCTACTCTGAAACCACTGTAAATGTCTAGTACGTCCCATCGTCCGGACAGAATCATGCAAATCATGCAGGGCATCATTCTTGACCGTCGCTGGTTGGAACGCACGCCTTAATTGAGCCGATGATGTTACCGACTTCGATCAGTTACATCGGAGTCGTGTCTGGCGACGTCCATCCACTTCTTTCGCCACCGAGACCGACCCGTCCGCCAGTCGCGGTCGTCCGTCCCAGTCGTCCGAGGTAGTCCTTATCCGCCTCCCAGCGATGTGCGCTGCGGCGACGACTTCACGCTGCTGCTGGTGGGGTGTTGGACATCGGCGAGTCGGTGAGAAGTGTTGTAAGAAAGAAGCAAACCAGGAATTGGTGACCATTGGTCCACCAGTTGGTTCACCACTGAGGTCAAAACTATTCGAAGAGGGATCCATCCCCAAGTTCAAGTGAACAGTGCCCAAGCTATTCGATGATCAGAGCCTGAACAGGATTAAAAAATATGGTTCTTATACGCACCCTGTTGGTTTGTTCGTTTTTGGACCTGTTTCCATCGGTGCCACTTTGCCAAGGTGAGAGACAGCCCCGACTGGTACCCACCAGAGGAGGAGCAGGACACTCAAGACGCGATGCGCGCTGCATCCGGCATGACTGTAAATGGAATATATGGAATAGATGGAAGAGTTCTGTGGACAGCCACGACTTGGATTCCCATCACGAACAGTTGACAGGTCTTTCTAATGTCCTACCTCTTAACTGATTCTTCCGGACGGTGCCTGACTCGTTGCGTTCTCGGTTCTCCACACATCCACCCTACCCCCAGCCAGCGAGGTCGGAGCGGCTCTTCTGCTGCGGTGAAAATGGCAAAGGCCAGTGTGGTCGCTCGATGCAACAGCAGCAGCCGCTCGGCGGGCGGCGGGACGTGGGGCGCAACGTGGCGGGACTCGTGCGCTCTTCGATGCATGGCCAAAAGGGTGGAGATTCCGATCAGTGAGACGTCCTGATACAGTACATCAGTACCAAATCGATCCGCCCTTCGTCGCGTCCGAGGCAAACCTTTGCAGCCTGCCGGTTGCCACGGAACAGCAAAATCCTAGGCAGACCGACGGTCGCGGTTTCTGTTGGACCGACGCGTGCGGAGCTGGACTGCTCACGCCGCGCAGCTTTTGGGCGTGAGCGACGGAGAAAGGGCGGTGCCTGGCTTTTTGGGAAACTTCCGGTTGGGTGGAGAGCTTGCAGGCCATATGCTGGAAGCACGGGATAGCAGATACAAGGCCAAGTAGCAGACTCTGCAACTATACTTTTTCCTAAAGTTCTTTCGGTCATTCGCCAGGAAATTTCTGGATTGACTAAGGCGGAATGACTCTGTTCTTTCAGTGACACTCTCGCTAGCGCTAGGGCATCCTATAGGGCTGTTTTGTGGTGGACCCAAACCGACAGAACCCACCCGGTTTGTGCAGGGACACGGGTCTCCTGATGCAGACACTTCGATGAACATCCTCGGTTCGTTGTTGTATGGCGATGGCGTTTGTGACGACGACGTGCGTAGTCCAGTAGTCAGTAGTCTTCCAGAATGTTTGGACCAAAACAGGGAATGACCTGAAGTCCTCTCACCCCGGTCTCACCGCTCGTGGTGGGATGACCTAAAGCGGACTCGCCAGGACTCTCCTGTGGATCTGACCATTGCCTGGCGCTGCTCCGCCGGGTGGGTTCCAGAAAGCAGGCGGCCATCGGCAGCTCTCCACCAGCTGTGGGTGAATGGGCTCCACAAAACCCCTTGAGCAGCCCATGATGAGAAGGAACCAAATGGGTATTTTAAAGACGGTGTTCTCCCCACATTCCCCAACCCATGGATTTTGGTCGATGTTTCCTCGAGGAGGTTTTGGTGGGGGAGGCTTCCCTCTTCGAAATACACAGACCCCAGGTGTCTCCAAAGAGCCTCGTTTCGCGGACCTACTGGGCAGATGGGATGGGACTCCCAAAAGGGTTGCAGCTCGCAGGGGGTCGCAGGGTTTGGTCCTTCCATGCACGACGTGCCTCCGGCTGTGTCCATATCGGAACATCTTCTTCCCCCTGCGGATGAAGCCCAATTGTGGCCTGTTGGGGGGGAACCTTTTTATAGACAACTCCCTCATTATAAGCAAAGACAACTATGACGATATCACATAAGTATCATGCAACTGATATCAAAGTATCACAAAAAATGTATATAAGTATCATACAACACGAGTGAGTTTTCGGAATGAATCCGGTTCCAAGATTCCACGTCTTCGCTGCCCCGCAACGCGTCCTTCGCTGCCAGGAACTTTGGGGTTGGGGCAGCAACGCCTGCGGCCAGGCCAGGGCAGTCGCTTCGTTTCGCCTGGGAGGCGAAAACTCCAGGATCCCAAAAGGCGTGTGAGTCGATCGAGATCGGAAGTGGATCATCTTTCAGGAAACTCAGGTTGTCATGAACCCTTCACACAAGCCATGACAAGGTCAAGTCAAGTCAATAAGTCAACAAGTCTCTATACCAGGGGTCACAAAGGGGTGGTGTTTGGTCCACTTAGGGAGTGGATAATGGGCACCCCTAGCCTCCAATAGGCACCCCTTTGTGACTCCTGGTAGTTTCTTCATCTCGTTTTAACCGTTTCGTCCTCTAAAACCCTCGCGACTGCGCCAGGCCGGCGGCACAAAGCATGGGGCGGTCTGCCCTGCCGCACGGCTACGGATGCCCAAAGGAATCCGCGTGGAGGTGCGATCGTGCAAGATGTAGACAGAAAGAAGAGGAAGTTAAGGGGATAGTTGGTCACTATTCCTAACATGTCTTAATATGTCTTAATTCTTAATTATGGAATATGGTGGAAGAATTTACAATTGAGCCTGAAAACATCTCAAAACCACCCGAGCAGTGCTCCACAAGAGTCTGGTGTTCACGACCGCCAGTTTCCCGCACAGAAGACCAAGCGTGCAACGCCTTAAATAAGATACTATCCATTACTATAGATTTAAATATAAGACATTGATTATATAATAAGCATCATATTGGAGTTCTCATCGCTTGCACCGTATTGGAATGGTTCGCTTCACGGCTTGGCTTCGTTGTGACTGTGCGCCTTTCGCGACCGCAGCAGGCATAGTGTGCCCCGCTCGAACTCGAACTCGAAGTCGAACTGAAACAGTTGTGCTTATTGATGAACTCAACCCTGAAAGGAACCGAACTCGAACTCGATCTCGAACTCGAATTGGAACAGTTAGAATTCAACCTGGTGGACGAATAGAAAGAGTCGAACTCCAAAATCGCTGTCGTCGATTCGAATTCGAATTCGAACTCGAACTGGTTCCCCCGTCGCGGTGTAAAAATTGTCGTCGAGTCGAATTCGAATTCGAACTAATGCTGCGTTGTAGTGGCTCCTTCCTATTCTAAATTTCACCCTCGAATGGCCCACAACAGGAATGCTACGTTGTAATATAATGGCTCCTTCCTCTAAACTTTACCCTCGGGTGGCCCACAAAAGGCATGCTACGTTGCAATGGCTTCTTCCTTTTCTAAATTTTACCCTCGGATGGCCCACAAAAGGGATGCTACGTTGTGGTCAATTGGTTGGTTGCTGCTGGCGCCGCTGGCAGGTGGCTGTTGGTTGGTTGGTTAGCAGGTTTTGCCGCAGGGAGTTCACACTAAAATGTTGATTTCGTGACAGGCGCGGGTTTTGGAGATGAAGTGCAGATTTCGTGGCGCGGGGGGGGTTGGGGGGGGGGGGCGCAGCGCCCCCCCCCCCAGATCCCAAATAAAACAAGTGTTGGCTGCAAAGATGAGACTGCGCAGCGCGGATACTTTCAACAGGTTGATTGCTTTGTTGCTAGCTTGGTTGGTTCCTGTTCTTCTTGTTGTGGGTCGTGGCGATTGCGGTTGTGGTTGTTGTCGTTGCTGTTGGTTCTCGTTGCTGTTGTTGTGGGTCGATCCGAACTCGAACACGAACTGGTCCACCCCCCCCTTATAAGTCCCTTAGTCGCCGATCCGAACTCGAACTCGAACCGGTCCACTCCACCCCCCCGGCTCTAAAATTGTTGTCGATCCGAACTCGAACTCGAACTGGTCCACCCCCCTCTCGCTCGATCCACGCAATCTCGCGCTTCGAATTCGAACCCGAACTCGAACTCGAACGGGATCAGTTAGAACCACCTGGGGCACGGCCTGGCAGGGCGCCTTTTGCGGCTTCGCCAGCAGCGGGGTCGGGATCGCCGAAGCGACCCTTCAACGGAGCGACCGGGGTGACCGGTGGGTTTGAAAGATGAAACAGGATCCACAGCCATTGAAGGACCATCACGTCGGGGAAGGTCAACTGACTAAG